TGATGCCTGTAGTCCCAAGCCTGCCCACCAGTGATGTATCCACCCTGGCTTTGGGGTGCCTCATTGTTTCCCTTCTTCTGTTTGTCTGTGTATTCTTTCGCTATCCCTATCGCCGCTGGATCTCCCCTCCTCGTGAACCAAACACTCGTGACAACTATGTCGAGGGAAAACCCCGGCAGTAAGGGTGCCTCTTTCCTGACCACAGAAAGTCGTATATGTAGAATCTCACGTGTGCTGAGGTAGTGTAGTTTCTGAAAGGGTCAAATTTGATTTCATTTGCAAATAAGAAGAGCAACTTTTCAAAATGCTTTTTAATATGCAAATCAGAGGTGGCATAATGTTATATTTCAGAAATACTTTTTTCCATTTAGCTATTTTACCATCCCCCACCTCATCCCCAGAAGCCTGTATTCTTTAGGTAGACTATATTTTCTGAAATTCCAAGAAACCTTTCAGGTAACATAAATATTAATTTCTTCTGATATTCTTCAGTGTGTCTCAACCCATTGCATAATACGATCAATGCAAAAGATTCACATATATCACTAAATCTCAACGGTGGTTTAGTTGAAAACAGCTCACTGAATTCCTGGAAGAAAATAAGTTACCTTTCAGATGCAGATAGAAACATGTTTAATCTTTGCATTTTGATTTGAGATCAAAGTTTTTTGTTTTTTTATTCCCTGTGCTCCAGGAGCAGGAATATCAAAATGAAGTCATTGTTTTGTCAGCTCCAATGATATTTGATTCTAGACATTCCCCACAGGTAAAATACTTATTTTTGTTTGTTGGTGCTAGAAGAGCTTATTTTTTGCAAGATTTCATTAGGATACTGGCAGAAGGTTCTAGTTAACCCACTGTGCTAACTTCAGTCTGTTACCAGTGTCTGGTTGTAGCACTGCATTAAAGGTGATTCTGAAGTTCAGTAAGTGGAATGAATATCCAAACTGATGATTCATCTACTATTGTTGTTGTTAAGTGCCGTCGAGTCGGTTTCGACCCATAGTGACCCTGTACAGGGTTTCCGAGGGTGTAAATCTTTACGGAGTAGAAAGCCTGATCTTTCTCCCGCGTAGCGGCTGGTAGTTTCGAACCGTTGACCTTAAGGTTCGCAGCCCGATTCGTAACCACTACGCTACTATAGGCCAGTGTTAAAGATGAAGGAAATGAGAAAAGGAGAAGAGCTTGCTTTCAAGTATTTCCTTCTCTGATCAAATATGGAAAGAATATTATACCAGCAATTAAATATTTGCTTTTCAGGGTTAACACAATAGCGTTAGTGGAATGTCCTTAATCCTAGGGCTTAGTTAAAATATTCCTTCTTGTTGCTGGAGTCACCTATGAATGGATAGAAAGGCTTCCTCATTTTCTCTGGCCCTGAACTTGCTAAGTCAAGACAAAACACTCTCCTACTCCGCAGATGATTTTCTTTTCCTAGCTTGGAGAACTTACCATTTGGTGACTCTGTGGTGGTTTCCTCAGTGGTGTATGTGCCCCTCTGGAGACCAGCAGGGGCAGTCACTCCCATCATATAATCTGTGCCACTGGGAGTTGGGAGGTGACCTTCTAGAGTTCCCTGGATGGCAGAGTTTACTCCTGCTTGTCCTGCAGGAAGGATTCCCTCATGGATCTCTGGAGTAGGCCCTGCCTGACTGGTGGGCAGCATGACTCCTGGGAATAAGGGGTGGATGAGGAGGCCCGTGAACATTTGTGGGGCCACTGGCTGTAAGGAGGGAGGGGAACAGAAAACAAAGACAAAAGGAGCACATTTAAGACTGATTACCCACCCTTGTTTTTCTTTGAGGGCGACAAGTTTGGGTAAGAGAGCAGGACTAGGGGTTAATGTTAGAGAAAGCAACAAAGGTTTAGCATTCCTCGGAGGGAGGAAATGCTTCCCTCTCGCAAGCCAAGTCTGATGCTGGCTTCATTATTGGAATTCCTTGCTATACTCTGTTTCCTTCAGAAAAGGGAAGCAAGAATCAAGCCAGTCTAGCAAAAGGAATAATGCATAATTTGTAATTCCCAGGCATTTCTCTAGATAGAACTCAGCCAAAAAATCCATACAATTATGGTGGTGTATTGTGTTATTTACCTAAACTATAGGCTTTCTTTTGCCCATAAATATTAGTTTAATAAAAAGTAGTAAAGTGGTATAAAATTAATGGAAAATTAATTTAATTAGATTAATCATTCCTCCTTCTTATAGTTTGCATTTCTCCAAGATTTTTTAAAAAAGTATTTTTTCAAAAGCATTGTGCTACTGAGTCAGACATATGTTTTTCTTGGCATTTGGCCATTGGTGTGCTCTTTGAGATTACTTAAGGAAATCCCCTCACTTGGACCACAAATGATTTGGACAATAGTAATGAATGCAGCCTACACTAGTTTTTTTTTTCTGGAAAAAATTACTGTGAAAAGTTCATTTTAAGATGAAATACTGTAATGTCAGTTGGGTGTGGAGAGAGTGTAAGGTAGGAGCTAGTTCTTTGGGATTGTTGTTGTGCATAGTGACTTATGCTGGGCCAACCTCACAATTGTTGCCACACTTGAGACTGTGGATGCTGTCACGTTGCCAATCCATCACACTGGTGGGGGTCTTCCTCTTTTTTCTGACCCTCCATCTTACCAAACATGTTATTCTCCAGGTCCCTCTTGACAATAAGTCCGAAGTATAAGAGACGAAATCTGGCAATCCTGCCCTCCAAAGAGCACTCTGGATGCACTTCTTCCAACACAGATATGTTGGTTCTTTTGGCAACCCATGGCACTTTCAATATTCTCCTCCAACACTATAACTCAAATGTATCAATTCTTCAATGGTCTTCTTTATTCACTGTCCAGCTTTCGCATGCGTATGAGGTTATTGAATATACCAAGACTTGGGTCAGGCGTACCGTAGTCCTCAAGCTAACATCTTTTCTCTTCAACACTTAAAAGGTCTGGTGCAGCAGATTTGCCTAATGCAATGCGTCATTTGATTTCTAGACTGCTGCTTCCATGAGTGTTGATGGTTGATCCAAGAAACATGAAGTCTGACAACTTCAGTCTTTTCTCCATTGATAAAAACATTGTTTATTGGTCCGGTGGTGAAGATTTTTGTTTTCTTTACATTGAGATGCAATCCATACTGAAAGCTATGGTCTTTGATCTTCATTAGTAAGAATTTTAAGTCCTCCTCACTTTCAGCAAGCAAAGTTGTATCATCTGCATATTGCAGGTTGTTAATGAGTCTTCCTCCAATCTTGATGCCACATGTTTCTTCATACAACCCAGCTTCTTAGATTGTTTGCTCATCATACATGTTGAAAAAGTGTGGTGAAAGACTATAACTTTGGCACACACCTTTCCTAATTTAAAACCATTCAGTGTTACCATGTTCTGTTCGAACAATTGCCTCTTGATCTATGAACAGGTTCCTCATTAAGTGTTCCAGAATACTCATACTTTGCAATGTTGTCCATAGCTTGTTATGATCCACACAATCAAAGGCCTTTGTATAGTTAATAAATTACAGGTAAGCATCTTTCTGGTATTCTCTGCTTTCAGCCAAGATCCATCGGACATCAGCAATGATATCCCTCATTCCACGGCCTCTTCTGAATCCAGCTTGAACCTCTGGAAGTTGTCTGTCAATGTATGTTTGCAGCCATTTCTGTATTACCTTTAGTAAAATTTTACTCATATGGGATATCAAAGAGATGACCGATGATTTCTGCATTCCATTGGGTCACCTCTCTTTGGAATGGACACAAATATGGATCTCTTCCAATCAGTCAGCCAGACAGTTGTCTTCTAAATTTCTTGGCAGAGATGAGTGAGTGCCTCCTGTGCCACCTCACTTTCTTGAAAGATTTCAATTTGTATTCCATCAATTCCTGGTGCCTTGTTCTTTGTCAATTCCTTCAATGCACCATGGACTTCTTCCTTCAGTATTATTGGCTTTTGGTCATATGCTACCTCGTGAGACTGTTGAACATTGACAATTTCCTTTTGGTGTAGTGATTCTGTGTATTCCTTTTCTTCTTTTTATGCTTTCTGCACCATTCAATAATTTGTCCAGAGAATCCTTCAATAACAAAAACCAAGGCATGGATTTTTTCTTCAGTTTCCCCAGCTTGAGAAATGCTGAGCGTGTTCTTCCCTTTCGGTTTTCTGACTCCAGATCTTTGCACATTTTGTTGTAATATTTGACTTTGTCTTCTTGAGCTGACCTTTGAAAATTTCTGTTCAGCTCTTGGACCTCCTCATTGCTTCCATTTGCTTTAGCAGCTCTACACTGGAGAGCAAGTTTCAGTGTCTCTTATGACATCCATTTTTATCTTTTCCATCTTTCTTGTCTTCTTAATGCCTTTTTGCTTTCTTCATGTATGTTTTTGATGTCCCACACCTCTTCTGGTCTTTAGTGTTTAATGTATCAAATCTGTTCTTCAGAAGATCTCTAAATTCAGGTGGGATATATTCAAGGTCATATTTTGGTTCTCATGGACTTGTTTTCATTTTCTTCAGCTTCAGTTTGATTTTGCATACGAGCAATTGATGGCCTGTTCCACAGTCTTCCCCTGGCCTTTTTTTCACTGATGATATGGAGCTTTTCCACCAACTCTTTTCACAGATGTAGTCACTTTGATTTCTATATATTCCATTTGGTGAAGTCCATATGTATCACCATCTCTTATGCTGTTTATAAAAGGTATTTGAAATGAACAAGTCATTGGTTTTGCAAAATTCTATCATGTAATCTCCAGCATCATTTGTATCACCAAGGTCATATTTTCCAACTACTGATCTTTCCTCTTTGTTTCCAATCTTTGCATCCCAACCGCCAGTGATTATCAATATATCTTGATTGCATGTTTGATCAGTTTCAAATTGAAGAAGTTGGTAGAATTCTTCTAGTTCATTCTCACTGGCTTTAGTGGTTGTTGTGTAAATTTGAATAATAGAGGTATTAACAGGTCTTCCCTGAAGGCACATGGATATTATCCTATCACAGACAGCGTTGTACCTCATGACAGATCTTGAGTTGTTCTTTTTGCTGATGAATGCAATGTCACTCCTCTTCAATTTGTCGTTCCCAGCATAGTAAACCATGTGGTTGTCAGATTTAAAATGGCCAATACCAGTCCATTTAAGCTCACTAATGCCTAAGATATCAAAGTTTATGTGTCCCCTTTCATTTTTAACAATTTCCAATTTTCATCAATTCAAACATCGTACATTCCATGTTCTGATTATTAATGGATATTTATAGCTGTTTCTCTTCATTTTGAATTGTGTCCCATCAGCAAATGAAGGTCCTGAGGGCTTTATTCCCACTGGCTTTACTCCATTTGCAACATCATGGTTAACTCTACTTTGAGGAGGCAGCTCTTCCCCAGTTGCATTTTGAGTGCCTTCCATCATCAGGGGCTCATTTTCTGGCACTATATCTGACAGTATGTCCCTACTATTCATAAAATTTTCAGTGACTAAATACTCGGAAGTGTTTGTCTTTATCTGGAAGCTCATCTGAAAACCTGTCTACCATGGGTGACCCTTCTGCCATAGCTTTCAGAATCACAGAAACTCACAAGCCACTACAGTACGACAAACTCTCTAGGATTGTTGTTGTTGTTGTTGTTATGTGCCGTGGAGTTGGTTCCGACTCATAGTGACCCTGTACATGGTTTCTGAGGTTGTAAATCTTTACGGGAGCAGAAAGCCTCATCTTTCTCCCTTGGAACAGGGAGTTTCGAACTGCTAACCTTGCGGTTCGCAGCACAATTCGTAACCACTACACTATCAGAGCTCCTTTAGGATTAGCATTAATAAATGTGTTTTCATACAGTAAAAAGTGCTGAGAATTCATAATTAAGATAAATGTAAATTTCATTTATGGTGGACTTTACATTTTAGTTTGCATAAGAACCATCTGAGAAATTTGTTAAAAGGGTCCATTACCAGAGAATCTCAGTGATCAGGTCTGGGTCTGGACACAATGGCACTTAACAACAAAACAAAAAACACTCCAAAGGACAGTGATTTGGTGGTCCAGATTAAGGTTTATGATTTGTTTTTCTTTAAGAAGCACTGAAACCAGAAGTAGTTTTATACTAGATGAGACACAAAAATATAATGCAAAAAATTTCAGATCAGTACTGCTACAACTGTAGTTTTAAAATAAAAAGATGTGTGATGACTATCATTAAAAAAACCAGAATGTACTGTAAATTATTAGAATGTATTTTAGCATTTCAAATAACAAAGACATTGTTTCTTAAACTTTGTGTGACTTTGTGTTGAATTAAATGAAAATGTATTTGTCACTGTGAGTTGTACTAAAAAAGTTTGAAAAGCACTGGTACAGTGGATAGAAAAATGGTTTTGCCCCTGAATCCACTGGTTTTTGTTGTTTTAGGGCCCAAACTACTCAAAAATATTTAATCACAGTTTCTTTATCTGTAATACTGAGTCAAAAATCTCCACTGTGTAGTTTGGTGATGATTAATAATAAGGCCCAATAAACTGGTAAATGTGAAGTTCATGTACCAACATTAGCAAAACAGACACTAACGCCTTTGCTTGTTTGTTACTTATGGACCATATATAAATGTTCTTTTTCACATAAAAAAAAACTGTGTTTGTAGATATTTCCTTAATTCTTTAGTTCTTTTGTCATATTTATATATCATTTAAATTCTAGTCATTTCCCCTAAAAATGGAGGAATGTGTAGAAATACCCAATAATGATATTTAACTTTAGCCTTATAGCTATTTATGTCTGTAGGAAAGAGTTGATTAATCACTATCTGATGCTAGAAAAAGAACATATTTTCTTATAAAAATGAAAAATCCAACTCAAGAGCATGAAGCTTTACTCTAAAAAGTGTCAATATCTCTATTATTCTATATTTCTATAGTTAGTAATTCTGAATTTTCACCAATATAAAATTTTAAAATTATATGCAATAGCTTTCTGGACAGAAGTGAATCTGACAGAAATAGGTAGATAAAATAGTTAAGTCAAATTAACAGAAAGGTAGCTTGAGAAGAATGATGAAATACTCAGTGAGAGAAAGGATAATGCAATGCTAAGATCCATAAAAAAGGTCAGCCTGTTTGTGGTTTGTGGTCAAGAGAAACTATGTGAGGACCACAAACAGAATTGTAGTATAAATCAAAATAATTTGAAATGTTAGTATATTTTGTTGTTACCAATTCTTCTGAGCTTAGGATAGCACCCTAGAAGCAAAATGACAAATACAAGTTATTAGAGACATTTTAATATATTAGAGGCAAGTTATACATCATATAACATTTATAAATTTAAATACTTTCATGGTTTTTATAAAATTTTTTGTAATTTTCAAAATATTTTAAACTTCCTTATAATCTGTATCACAAAATTCAAGTTACCATATGATATTGGACAGCTAATATTTATTATCTGAGAGATGTAAGGGCAAACACCTTTATTATTAAGTAATATATGCATGTTGGAGGAAACTTGAAGAATACAGAAAGCTTTGAAGAGAACAAATCAAAGTTACAATCCTACCATGAAGAATTTGATGCATTTTTTTTTCTGATTCATTTTTTTGAGTTGTTTTCTACATGTTCCTTTTGTGCCTAATAGAAACTATGTAATTTATACTATTTTGTGTCTTATCATTGTTTTTAAAATTATAGGACAATCATTGCACCATGTTATGGGAAACTTTTAATACATTTAATTTTGAATGGCCACATAGTATTTGTTCTTATGTTGTACTGTTTGTAAATAATTTTTCTTTTGTGGTAAATTTAAGTTGCATCCAATATTTTCTTCTACCCAAGTGTTAGTTTGATCAGTTACTTGTATGTGCACTTCTGCTATATTTCAGGTTATTTTAGTGAGATATGCTCCTACATATGGAATTAAGAGTTTATATGAACCTTATGTTCGATTATTTTCAGAAGTAAAAGCTGCTATCTTGGACCTTGGTGATTTGATCAATGATCTCATGAATAACCTTTCTTACAGAAAAATGGGAGAGGAGAGAAAGTGTTATGTAACATTTCTAGAGGAGCATATATAAATAAAAGTATATATTTGGGATTAAAAAGTAAGTCCCCAAACTCATTAAAGCAATTCCATTAACTTGTTTGTTTCTTAACAACTTGGTTTAAAGAGTTGATTGGTTGATTCACCTGTGATGTTTACTGATGAAATGTAACTATTTCCAGCTACTCACTTTCAAATTCAAAATAAAAGTATTATCTACAAAAATTGGTTCAGATCAAATGAGATACTACAGTAAAGTATTTAGAAGTGTACTTGGCATTAGTAGAAGTACTCAATAAACACTAGTGCTTGCTATTATGATGTTCATACAATGCAGATTAAGTTGGAAACATTATAAATATCTGGTAGATTGAGGCAAGATAAATATTTCACACCAAAGGGATATAAAATCAATATATTTAAAATAATTTTAAATGGGGAAGAGATCGTCTCTTCAACAAATGGTGTTGGCAAAACTGGAAATCCATTTGCATAAGAATGAAGCAAGACCCATATCTCACACCATATACAAAAACAAACGCAATATGGATTAAAGACCTAACTGTAAAATCTAGAACTATAAAGATAATCCATAAGAAAATATAGGGAAATACTTAAGGCTCTAATATATGACATAAATACATTGTCAAACAACAAATAGTAGAAGACAAATAGATGAATTAGGCCTCCTAATAATTAGGCATTTATGTGTATCCAAAGATTTTGCCAAAAGAATAAAAAGAGAAACCACAGACTGGGAAAAGTTGTTTGCAATGACTAATGTCTAAAATATATAACAAACTACACCTTTACATGAAAAAGAAACAACCCAATTAAAAAATGGGTAGATGACATGAACAGACACTTCACCAGGGAAGACACTGAGGCAACCAACAAACATATGAAGAAATGTCCATGATCATTAACCATTTGCTGTTGTTGTTAAGTGCTGTTGAATCTGTTCCAACTCATAATGACCCTGTATAGGGTTTCCAAGGAGCAGGTAGTAGTTTGAACTGCCGAGCTTATGGTTCGCAGTCCAGTGCTGACCCTAAAGCACCATACCATTAACCATTAGATGCAAATCAAAACAACAATGAAATATCATCTCACACAAGCATTAATTACAAAGTTTAAAACAAGGGAAAACAACAAATGCTGGCAAAGGCCCACCTACATTGTTAGTGGGACTGTAAAATGATTCAATCATTGTGGAAAACAGTATGGTTCTTTCTCAAAAACTTGAAAATAGAAATACCATATGACCCAACAATTCTTCTACTAGGTATATAGCCACAAGTAACAAGAGCCAGGACATGAGTAGATATATGCACACCATTGTTCATCACAACACTATTCACAATAGTAAAAAGATGGAGACAGACTGAATGTCTAGCAATGGAAGAATGGATAAACGAATTGGTACATACACACAATGGAATACTATGCAATGTTGAAGAATAATGGTGAATCTGCAAGACACCTCATAACTTAGATGAACCTGGAGGACATTATGCTGAGTGAAATTAGTCAATCACAAGAGGATAAATATTGTATGAGACTATTATTTTAAGAGCTCAAGAAACGGTTTTGATGCTAAAAGAAATATTCTTAGATGTTTAAGAGGGGTGGGAGGGAACCGAGAGTAATTCACTAACTAAAGGGTCTGCAAATGTTAACTCAGGTGTTTGGGAGGGCAATGTACAAGAAGAGGGAGGTTGGCAGAAGAATGATGATGATAGGTGTAGACACAGGGAGATATGCAAGCCCTAAACAGGATAGAGGTCAATAGTATTAAATACATACACAACTCTGTACAAAAATACAGGCTGAATGGCTATGGTAGAAAGATGAAAGTATACCCACAAATAAAAAAGGGTTGAAAGGATATTGTATATAGATATTTATCTTTGCTTCAAACACAATTATGAATGTGGTAGAGTATGCAGCAGGCAAAATGATGAAAGTTCTTAGATATTATCAAACATCTTAAGACAATGAGTTGATGGGGCTGGGGGTTCAGGACCATAGTCTCAGGGGCTGCCATTGTAAATTGGTATAACATAGTCCACAGAGACAATGTTTCAGGTATTATTTTTGTGTTTGGGATCTTAAAAGTTCCTTGGTGGCCACCTAAGTTGCAACTATTGTATCTCCGTGTGCGGACGAAAGAAGAGTAATGAAAGTTGAAGATGCTTGGGATCAATTAGTCCAGCAGACTAATGGAACACATGAACATCAGCCTCCATGACCCTGAGACTAGAAGAACTAGATGGTGCCCAGTTACCACTGCCAACTGATGTGAAAGCGACTACATTAGAAGTTCCTGGATAGAGTGGAAGAAAATGTGGAACAAAACACAAAATTATAATAAAAGACCAGGTTTACTAGTCAGAAATAGATTGGAGGAACTTGACACTACAGCCCTAGATCACCTTTCAGGTCTGGAAATTAATTCATTCTTGTGGCCCAATTTTCAGCCAAGCAGGAGATAGGTATATAGAAAGGGCAACAACACTAGTTAGGTATGTGCGCCATGGATTGGTCAATCATTCAAAATAAAAAAGGCAACATTTTCCTAAGGACAAAGTTGAGAAGGGATGGGAAATGGGTAGAACGGAAATAGAAACCACAGTGAGGAAGCGGGATAACTGTTGTTAAATGGAGGGGATTGCAATAATTGAGATGAAACAAAGTGCATGATTTGTTGCATGTAAAACATGTGATCTTGTCTGCAAATTTAATTCACGCTAAAAAGTTAAAAAAAATGCAAAGCAAAAAAACTCCTGAAAAATGATTACCATAATGTTTTTAATGATGAAAAAAATATAATTTTACCTGGGCTCCAAGCTGTGCTACAATAACTGGTAACATCTGAAAAAGAGAAAATTTAAGTAAAACCATATTCAAAGGTAAATTCTTGCATATAAAAACATATTCAATTGGTTTCCCTTGCTTACTATTGTAAAATAGACACTTGAGTAGGATAGAAAAGAATATCAGGAAAATCTTTATGGAGCAAAAAGCTTCATCTTTCTCCCAAGAAGTGACTGATGGATTCAAACTGCTAAACTTGTGTTTAGCAGCCCAACATTTTCATTGTTGTTGTTGTTAAGTGCCATAAGACTCATAGAACCCTAATAGGGTTTCCAAGGAGCAGCTGATGGATTTGAACCACTGACCTTGTGGTTGTCAGTCTAGTGCTTATCCTATTTCAAATATATTCTTATGGTACCTAATGTTCTAGAACAACAACAAAAATATTTTCCTACCACTCTTTGAAATATATTCTAGACTGTTGTTTTAAGTCAGTTCTGACTCATAGCATCCTTGTATAGCGTTTCCTAGGCTTTAAATCTTCTGGTGAACAGAAAGCCTTATCTTTCTCCCACAAAGCGGAAGGTAGCTCAAACCATGGACCTTGTGGTTGCAGTCCAGTGCTTAACTATGGAGTCACTGGGCTCCTCAGACAGGTTAGAGGTTGTTGTTTTTGTTGTTAGGTGCCATTGAGTCAGTATAGACTCATAGCGCCACTATGCACAATAGAATGAAACAATGCCTAGTCTTGGGCCAACTTCACAATTGTTGCCAAGCTTGAGCCCATTGATGCTGCCACTTTGCCAATCCATCTCGCTGGGGGTCTTCCTATTTTTCTCTGACCCTCCACCTTACCAATCATGATATCCTTCTCCGGCGACTGGTCCCTCCTGACAACATGTCCAAAATATGAGAGATGAAGTTTGGCCATCCTGGCCTTCACGGAGCACTCTGGCTGCACTTCTTCCAACACAGGTCTGTTGGTTCTTTTGGCAGCCCATTGTACTCTTAATATTCTCCACCAACACCATAATTTAAAAGCATCAATTCTCGTACAGTCTTCCTTATTCACTATCCAGCTTTTGCATGCATATAAGGTTATTGAATGAAGTCCTTGACAATGTCAATCTTTTCTCCATTGATAAGAATGTTGTTTATTAATGAGTCTTCCTTCAATCCTGATGCTACATTTCTCTTCATATAGCCCAACTTCTCAGATTATTTGCTCAGCATACAGGTTGAATAAGTATGGTTAAAGAATACAACCTCGTCACACA